ATTCCTGCGGGGATGGGAAATGCAGTTCAAGGAAGATTTTTCTAGTTTTGTGTATGTCTTCACATGTTTCTGCCAAGCCAGCCCTGCTGTTAACCATTCACTCTTCCAATTAGTTTTACCTCTTGTCTTGTTTGGTTTTGGAGAAGTCGTCTTGAAGCCTTCTTAAAGTATGGGACTGTCCTTTCCTTTGTGCAAGCCTTAGTAGGGGGTGGCCTCACTGTGAATGAAGCCTTTGACAGCAACAAATGAGTTGGGTTAACTCTCTTGTGTGCAGACATGTTTGACCCAGCACTGATTGGGGACAAACCCAAGTGGTACGCTCACCAACTGCAGCCCATCCACTACCGGGTCTATGACGGCAACTCCCAGCTGGCTGAAGCTCTCAATGTCCCAGCAGAGAAAGAAACAGATTCTGATCCCACTGATGACAGGTGAGTGGGGAGCAGGATCATAGTCACCTAATAGTTACTTCAGATTGTTGGGCTTCTTCTTGTTTGCAGCCTTTTTTTGTAGCCTGTCAGGTTGGTGTTTAATTTCTTCTGTCTGGGCAGAGTACTGATACTGAAATAAATTGTCAAACTGCTCTGTCTACACAGCAACCTCTTAACTCTTTGATACAGTGTCTTCTCAAGACTTCATTTAATGTGATTCTGCATTTGTACTTTCCTGTTTTCTTTTACTATCTGCTACCTGACATTTGGTATTTCCTCCCACCCTACTGCTTTTTAATTCCATGCTGTTCTTTCTTTGGTTATTTCTGTTGCAGTACTACAAGTACTCCCACCCATCTTGCCACTCTTCCAAATCTCTACTCAGTGCAAGTAGTTATGTGAAGCTTACTAGTACTACCCACTGCTTGACACCTCCTTGTGCTTTCAGTGAAATGAGAGTAAACTTTTTTGTTACAGTAGTTTTGGCCACACTTCCCAGAGTTTTGCATCTAGTTTTACTGTTGTTTGTTCTCTGCTAGCCTGTGAGATCTTTGAGGCTTGGATTTCCACATCTTTTACATTCTACACAGCACCAGTGGTCCTGAAAGAGTGGGATTTATCATTAATATAGAAAGGGGATGCTTTCACTTGAGATTTCTGGTTCCCTTGAGATGGTCCTACAAACACACACACAGAGAATTGATACACCCTGATACACTACTGCCTGCTCACTTGTGCTTGACCTCATTAACTATGCTGAGAGCCTTTCAGTGTCTTTCCATTTTGTCTCTTCGTGCACCTCCAAGTTCTTTCATTGAAAGATCTTTCATGAAGCTGGCTTCTGACTCTTGCCAGAAACTTATTTGACATTAATAAGAGATTTTTAAGAGGCCTGTGGAAACAGTGCTGATGGACATCTTTAAACCCCAAGCCCTGCTGTTGCTGCTATGCTGCCTCTCATCTCTCTTTATCACCTCTTGTGGCAGTGGCAGTGACAGTGTCGACTACGACGACTCCAGTTCCTCCTACTCCTCCCTTGGGGACTTTGTCAGTGAGATGATGAAATGTGACATTAATGGTGATACCCCAAGTGAGTAACTTTGAGCTTTACTTCCACAAGGTCCACGTAGGTTCCTCTTCCATATTCATCTGTGCTGTGGGGAAAAAGTGTCTCCTCTAAGTCACTGGGTCAGAGCAGAGTATTGTTCCATTGTAGTCTTGCTCTGAGGTAAAACTGTCTTCTGTATTTCCCTCAATATCCAGGGGCAGGCTGAAAAAAGACATTTCTCCTGCTTATAAACAATGCCCTCCAAAGGACACTGGGGGGAGGAAGAACAGAAAAAGGTGCTGCTGAACAACAGTGGCTCACTAGATCTGGAAACAACCTGATACTGTGCAGTGTGTGCAGCAGAGTATGAGCTTTCTCCTGCCCCTGCATATTGGTTCTCAATACTGGGTTTAATGAGTTGCTCCATCCTAGTGGGGACAGGAAAGTGTATTCCCTGTGGCTTATATGGAGTTTGTAGCAATAGCTTCCCTTGTGAGGGTGGGAAACTCATTTTCTTCAATAAATTAAATCTAGGAGTGCCAACTCGTTTCCTGTGTCATGAAAACAAGAGGTAGTCATAATAATTTGCAACAAAAGAAGATCTGCTTGGACATAAGGAAAAGATCTTCATGGTTGGTGTAGTTAAACAGGTTCACAGCAGAATGTCAAGTCTTGAAGAGTTTCAAAACTCAGTGAGACAAGGCCCTGAGCAGGGTGCTTTAACTTTTAAGTTACCCCTGCCTTGAGCAGGGAATTGGACTAGATGACCTTCAAAAGCCCTTTACAACCTAAATTTTTATGCAAGTTTGTTCTCCTGAGCAGTTCTCATCTGTTAGGGATCTGAAGTTAGATGGGCAAAGGCTGAGGAAGGCAGTGTTGTTTACTGCAAAATGATGTGTTTGCAGATGTTGACCCCCTGACTCACGCAGCCCTTGGTGATGCCAGTGAAGTGGAATTTGATGATTTTCAAGAATATTCAGGGGATCTGGATGAACAGGCCATGGACAGTGAAAACTCCCAAGAGAACAACCAGCCTCGTTCAAGCTCCAGTACCACGGCCAGTAGCAGCCCCAGCACTGTCATCCATGGAGTGAATCATGTGTGTACTGAGATGGGTTCAGCCCCAAGATCAGCCTCTTAGGAAATAAAGAGTGGGAGAGAATGCACACGGTTCTGTCTGAGAAGGGCAAAAGCTAATGGGACTGTGAAACCAGGCACAGATTAAATTGCATGCTCTTGCTGGATGTTCTGAGCAAGGTGGAGTTTACTGGTACCCTTAAGCTGGGATGGAGCACTCTGTAAATAAAAGCTCCCATGCTGAAAAAATGCAGCATTAACCAAGGCCCAGGTTGTGACTGCAGGAATTGCTCTTACAGATTCTGAAAACACCAGCTTTAGAAGAGCAGGGAGTGGGGAGGGGAAACTCCTGAATCTGTAGTCATTTAGGAAGAGTGGGAGCTGTGTGCATAACCACAAAACAGGCAGTGGAGAGCCTTTATCCTGAGCTAGGATTTACCAGGAAGATCTGTTTTACAGGGGAGTTAAGTCCCTGGAACAATGCACAAATCTTGCAGAGTGTCTGAAATCCCCCTTAAGCTGGGATGGAGCACTCTGTAAATAAAAGCTCCCATGCTGAAAAAATGCAGCATTAACCAAGGCCCAGGTTGTGACTGCAGGAATTGCTCTTACAGATTCTGAAAACACCAGCTTTAGAAGAGCAGGGAGTGGGGAGGGGAAACTCCTGAATCTGTAGTCATTTAGGAAGAGTGGGAGCTGTGTGCATAACCACAAAACAGGCAGTGAAGAGCCTTTATCCTGAGCTAGCACTCACTAGGAAGATCTATTTTACAGGGGAGTAAGTCCCTGGAACAATACACAAATCTTGCAGAGTGCCTGAAATCCCAGATCAGAGCCACAGATAGTGGGGAATGGGGTGGGGGGGGCCTAGTAACAAGCAGCAAGGACCCTGCAGACTTCCCAGTTTGAAATAATTGTTCTTGTCCTGCCCTTCAGTTGTATGTAACGCAAATTAGCGAACAGATCAATGATTTGACTGGTCCACAGGAGTCAGCAGATTCAGCAGAAATAGAGGAGAAGTTGGTTGCTGGATTTTCAAGCCACCTCCCTCCCTTGGCACTGCAAGCAAGCTTTCCCAAGATCAGCTTGGATCGTCATGACAGTGAGAGTGCAGCTGGCAGCTTGAGCTCCTCAGAAGGGGTGGGGAGGAAGCAGGAGTATGACAATCCCTATTTTGAACCACAGTATGGTTTTCCCACGGAGGATGAAGATGATGAGCAGGAAGAGAGCTACACCCCAAGATTTAACCAGAATCTTGGGGGAAACAGGTGAGTCCTCTTTGTCTTCACAGCTCTTGGGGTTTCCAGCTGCTTCATGTGGTTTAATGTTAGTTTGTTCAAAGGTCTTTTACACCCAAAATGTATTTTTATCACTTGTTTGTTTATCACTTCCATTTAATATTGAAATTTTATAAACCATTTTGATTTGAGTAAAGGGACTTGCTCAGTTCCCTCAGGTCCTTGCTTTTATGTGAACAGTAAGAGCTAACAGAATTATCAGTTCTTCCTGGAAACATTCTAGTCTATCACCTACTGATTTCTGGAACTTTTGAGTGATTTTTTTTTGGTGAAGTTTTGTCTTCCAGGGGAAAGATACTGTAATGACTTTTGACATTGGGTTTTCTTGTTATTGCTTTCAAATAACACCCTTTAAATCCACCAATGCCCTTTTGAGACAAGTTTTTCAGCATGACCTGAAAGGTAATAAAAGCCTGACTGAAAAGATGCTTCAATTATCTTGTTTTTTCTTTGTCTGTTTGTTTTTTTTTTTTTAATTTCCCCACAAGGTAAGGATAGTGTGGTGAAAACTGATGAGGAATGAGACCAGCATCCATCTCCCACAATCAAACTTGTTGATTTGGGGCAGGGAGGGGCAAAACTAATAACAATTGTACTTCATTTCTTTGAAGGTCTCAGAAGTTACTCCGTCCAAACAGTTTAAAACTGGCCAATGATTCTGATGCAGATTCAGATTCCAGGGCCAGCTCCCCAAATTCTACTGTCTCCAACAACAGCAGTGAAGGTTTTGGGGGCATCATGTCTTTTGCAAGTATGTACTAATGCATTAAATAAGCTGGTTTTGTTTGTTATATTCAAGTTTACAGAGAGATGGTATAGAGATGGTGCTAAATTAAATTTCTTTACTATGCTCACCTACTTTCAATTATATTTTGATAATAACATCCACAGGTGAAGAAAACTAATCTAGAATTCTTTAATGAGTGAAAGAAGATAGGACCAGTTGAGTCTTGCACTAGAGTGGGAAGCAGTGCCAGAAGTTTGCAGCAGTGGGGAAAATATACTGGATGTTTGGAGTAAAATTACTCCAAGTAAAATTGTTACTAAATTAAAGATGCAAGAAAAGAACCAAAGCAAATTGAAATAGTATGTGGACATTTTAAATAAACATCTTGAAGTGTTAATCATTAAAATTACTCCAAGTAAAATTGTTACTGAATTAAGGATGCAAAAAAAGAACCAAAGCAAATTGAAATAATATGTGGACATTTTAAATAAATATCTTGAAGTGTTCATCAGCTTCTTGATCTACATGAGATGCTTTCAGGCTGTCAACAGGGTTAACCAGATGGCAAATCATTTTTGTGTGTGTAGGATCTGTCTGTACTAGGAAGAACTTTTGTTTCTTTCCTAATAAATGGAAAGCTTCTATTTTAAAGCACGTTTCTGTGGCACATTTACAGTGTTTCACAAAGCACAGTACACAATCCTCACTTCAGAATGATGTGTTTTGGAGGCCTTACATCATCCTGTTTTCTCTTGTGGCCCCTACCATTCATTTGCTCCTAAAAAGAGGATCAAACTTGAAGGCAGAGCTGATGTGAGGTTACCTGTTGAAGTGCAGGGAGACAGGTGAATTTTGCTGTTATGTTTAAAACTCCAAGACAGAACAGCAGTGACTGTAACATGAAAGCAAAGAATTACATTTTTGTACCATTTAGAATAATCTGATTTCAGATGCAGTTGCAATGTCAATGTGGTGATGTTATGCTTGGGGGACTTTTGGGTAATAAAGAAGAACTTGACCATTAAGGATCTGGAAGAAGAAGGTGAATTATAGGATGTTTAGTAAGTTTGGGTGTGTGCAGTGAGCATTAAGATTTTTATTGTTTTCTTCTGTCATAGGCAGCCTGTACAGAAACCACAGCACGAGTTTCAGTCTGTCCAACTTGGCCTTACCAACGAAAGTTGGGAGAGACAAGAGCACTCCCTTCCCCAGCCTGAAAGGTAACCATTTTTCCCTTTGTCTTCTACAGCCTTTACACTTCTTGTCACTTGACAGTCTGAGATCTTACCCTCAACAGGAATCCTGGGGGTGACACATTTTGGTACTTCGGGTGGTACCTGTCTTTTAACTATCAAGACAGTAAATTGTCATCATATTTCTCAGTCAGACTTCTTCCCAGTGGCTGGGCTGTGTTGGGATGGGAGACTGGCTGGCCAAGCCTCTGTTAACTCTGAATGTTGGTTTCGTTTTGTGTTTTGTTTTGGTTTATTTTCAAGCACTTAGTGTAAAAATTTGGAACTGAGAGGTAGGTCCTACTTTTGTACTGCCACTGTCTTCATCATTAGTCTTAGGTAACTTGTCAGAGCATTGATGCTGCTTTTGTAAGTGTTGATAATCTCAGCCTCTCATGGAGACTGCAGTTTTTGTGGCTTTCAAAACTGTCTGTAGCCTTTAGTTCACTAAATAGAAGATTTCTGATCAAAATCAAACTAGAGCCATCCTTTGGCTTATTCAGAGTGAAGATTAATCCCTAACCTATGTGCACAATCTTTTCATTGGAACATCTGTTTGTCTGCAGTACCATTTGATAACATGTCTGAGTGGGAGTAGAGAGATGACCCTCTTACTGTGTGGGGAGCTAGACAACCTGGTCATCCTTGTACCAGATGGGACACCAAAAGGGTGACTGGACACGTGCTAGTGGCTTAGTGCTGAGACCTTTCTGGTTACCAAACTGGGGAAAGGTTTTACTTTACCTTTTGAGTTATTCTGTCTGATTAGAACCTAACTGCTTTTAGTTTAATATGTTGATTTTTTTTTTTCCATTTATTTTTTTCCTCCTCATCATTTTCATCGGTAAAGATTACTTTAATCTGGAAGTGGGAAGGGATGTGGATGAAGGTTGGTATGATGTTTTGCTGACCTTTGACCTTGTTGAAACAAAGGCCAAAAGCTGTTTATTTTTGTGATTCTGCTTTGGACTTTGTTTTTGAGACAAGAAATAGTTCCCTGTGTGTAAAATGAGGAGGAACAGGACTGACAGAGACTCTGCACAGCTATTTCTGACAAACTTTTACCAGTCAATGATGTTTTCCTGTCCAGTGAAACTGGATGAGAAACATGCTTTGTGTGAGGGTTATTTCCATGGGTAAACTTAATGCCTGTTTCCATACATTGGAAGAAAACAGTGATGGGGTTTGCCATCCCACGTTCATGCTTTGCACCTCATCTTCTGCACTTTGGTGTTCTTCTCTTGACTACTGTAATCCTGTAGGGCCTTTAATGTTCCAATGCAGATATGAGGATGGGATTTCCATGGAGAAGCTCAGTCTGTTTTATGCATGTGCAAGTGTGTGTGTGTGTGTTCATGTCCCTTGACGTGTGCATGCTGGCTCACTGGGATTCCCACTGTGCACTTCACTGGTTTTTAAATGTTTTTGTCTCTGTGGTACAGGTATAAAATTGCTGCATTAACTTGTTCTTCCCAAGTGTGTGTGGTACCTCGTGTTTCTAACTGTAATGGGAACTGATGCTGGGACTCCATCTCATTGCTGCTATTTGACCACTTTCCATCTTCCTTTTTAATTTTTATTTCATGCACATCCATTGATACTTTTTCCTCAGTGATGCAGATGTTTTTGATAGTGCCCTTGAAATACAATATGTGCAGCAGTGTTCTTGGAGATGCAATACATAGAGGTTCCATGATGCCAAATTTCAAGTCAAGCACTATCTCTAAGCTGAATTATGCTGGCCCATGTTGTCTTGGGCTTTCAAGCCTCCTTCCTGCTCTAGCATCCTTTGGGTTTTGTTTTGAGGGAGGGCTGGGAAGAAGCTGGTAGCTGGATTCTTTTACTGCTGATGGTGGGGAGTGTAGATATTGTAGTACACTACTAATTTTATATTTTGTGTCCCAGTATTTGGGTTAAATACTATAATGGAGATTATTACTGAAGCTGGCCCAGTAAGCAATGAAGGTGGGTTCCCTACAGCATGAGCTGTGCATGATACAACAATTTCCAGCATTCCCTATGCCTGACTTTGGGCTACCTTTCTCACTGGATAACCAGTACCACATGATCTATACTAGTCACCCCCAATGCATTATGCTTTTACATGTAGTGACTAATCTGAAGATGGTTCTTGTGGAACTGCATGCAGAGCAGCCAAAGTTCTCCTGCCTTTCACCCCCTGCTCCCATTGCCATCTTCTCTTTTTCTCTCTGCATTACTCCCATTACTGTTTTCTGCCGATGTGTGATGCTAGAATATGACACACGCTGCTGCTTTTTGGAGTTTCCATTTTGTCTGAAGTCTGTTACCTGTAATCTGAATAGGTGTGTTAGCCAACCTTAGCATTGCTTGTTGCTGTCCTGGGGTGAGCTTGTTTTCCTCCCACCCCTCTCCTCATCCTGTCTCCTCCCCTGTTTAGGAAACAGACGAGCGCTTGTGGATCAAAAGTCTTCAGTCATTAAGCACAGCCCAACAGTGAAGAGAGAATCTCCATCACCTCAGGGGAGAACTACCAATTCCAGGTAATGCTTTTTGTTACTTTCTGAGTATAAAGTGTTGTTAGAGTGGTCTCATGCTTGGCCAGTGTTTCCTGAGGAGTCTAGCTGTTAAAACTAAATTATGCTTACCTGTGTCCCTAAGCTTGCACATATTATTGTGCAAGAAGATTGTGTGGATGGTTGTACAGTTAATAGCACACATAAGTATTTTCCTGTGCTCCAAAATGTATCCTCTTTCTGAGACCCCCAAAATTCTAGGTCCTTGCTTCAACTCAGTATTTATTCTTTGTTATTGAGTCTGTTCTTAGTTTAGCCAGCAGAGTTTTAGTATACCAGGCAAGGGATCAGCTGAGTCATGTGAAGCAACTGAATTCCATGAATTCATGTGAAACTTTTTCTCAGCCTTGCAACTGGACTCAGGCTAGTGCAAGTGAACATTACCTGGCCTGTCCGTGTTCTTTCTCCTCCCTTTCTTACTGGGTAGGAAGAGAAATTTACTCTCAGTTTACTCAAAGTAAATTTTGGTCTGCTGGGCTTGGCAGACAAACAAGAGCAATAACTGCAGCTCAGGCCAGGGAATGCAGCACGTTGCACAGGACTTGCCTTGTTCTTGCTATTCCCTCCCCTGTGCTAAAGCAGTAGAGGTGCCCAGGCTACTGCAGTAGTGCTATTAGTGGTGCTGCCTACAGGTCAGACAAGGCAGATGTGGGAGGAGGTTGTGGCATAGAGGATTCCTCTGGATCCTGAGGAGTGCTGTGAAGGTGAGGAGCAGAGTGGTAGCTCGAGGGACGATTTGAATTTCTTTCCATGTAAACTTAGCTTGGATAGGAAATATATTTCTCTGTGTGTCCTGGTCCTATCTCCAAGGCAAGCAGAGGGCTAACTTTTGCCTGCTTGCTTTTAAATCCACCAGTGAGAACCAGCAGTTCCTGAAGGAGGTGGTACACAACGTTCTGGACGGGCAGGGCGTGGGCTGGCTGAACATGAAGAGGGTGCGGCGCCTGCTGGAGAGTGAGCAGCTCCGTGTCTTTGTACTAAGCAAGCTGAATCGCACGGTCCAGTCAGAAGAAGATGCTCAACATGATGTCATACAGGATGTGGTCAGTGCTGAACTCAGCAAGGTCCTCATACCTAGAGTCTGCTGAGGCTCCATTCGTAGGTTTTTCTTAGCTAGCCTCCTTAAAGCTAACGTTACAGCAGTCTTGCTGTGGATTGGAAGAGACCTTTAAAAGTGATTTGGTGCATCCCTCCTTCAGTGAGCAGGGACATCTTCAACAAAATCAGGTTGCTCAGAGTCCCATCCCACCTGACCTTGAATGTTTCCAGGGTTGGAGCATCTCTCCACCACTCTGGGCAACCTGGGCCAGTGTTTCACCACCCTCATTGTAAAAAATTTGTTCCTCCTCTCTAGTCTAAATCTCCCCCCTTTTAGTATAAAACCATCACTCCTTGTCCTGTTGCAACAGGCCTTATCAAAAAGATCATTCCCATTTTTCTTATAGGCCCCACTTAAGTACTGAAAGGCCACAGAAAGGTCTCCCTGGAGCCTTCTTCATGCTGAGCAACCCCAACACTCAGCCTCTCTTCCTAGGAGAGGTGTTCCAGCTCTCTGATCATTTTTCTGGCCCTCTTTTGGACCTGCTCCAACAGGTTCATGTCTTTCATGTACTGAGGACTCCAGAGCTGGGTGCAGCACTCCAGGTGGGGTCTCACCAGGGCAGAGCAGAGAGGCAAAGTCACCTCCTTTGACCTGCCGGCCACGCTTCTTTTGATGTAGCCCAGGATATGGTTGGCTTTCTGGGCTGCAAGCACACATTGCTGGCTCATGTCCAGCTTTTCATCCACTCAGGCCTCAACTGCAGCACTCAGCTTGGTGTCATCTGCAAACCTGCTGAAGGTGCTCAGTCCCACTGTCTGCATCACTGAGGATATTAAACAGCACTGGTCCCAGTACGGACCGCTTGAGGGACACCACTTGTCTCTGATCTCCATTTGGACCTCACAGCAGCACTTGGGACATGCCAACAGTGCCACTAATGAGCTTTTCCTTGCAGGAGATCAGTCGTAAGGTTTATAAAGGCATGCTGGACTTGCTGAAGTGTACTGTGCTGAGCCTGGAGCAGTCCTATGCCAACGCTGGCCTGGGAGGCATGGCCAGTGTTTTTGGCCTGCTGGAGATAGCACATACTCACTATTACAACAAAGGTAAGCAAGGTGTTTATCAGCCAAACAAGATCCTTACTGGGAAGGCAGCTGGTTTGTGACTCCTGATATTTCAGGGCTTCTGGGTTATTTTAGTTGGTTTCTGGGTGGCTTGCATCAGGGATGTTAATAGATGGCTTGGATGACCTTTGGGTTACAAGTGTTAATTTCCAATTCTTTTTAGCATTGTTCCTGCATGTGGAGAATAAGCTGATCTTGGTAATTATAAGCCTTTGAGTATGACACTGGTCCTAAGCAAAATTATAGAGTGGATAATGTAAAACTCAGTAGTTTTAGAATGAAGTCTTGCAAATGTAATGCAAGATGCTGTAATTTGATGGTAACTAGAACTTGCCCAGTAAATTAATTGTGGTCACAATAGACAAAATGGGATGTATACTTCTAAAGCCTTGATAGGACTTATCTCATTATTGCATGACATCTTGATTTATAGTCAGATTTTATCTGTTTAATATGTTTTACCTGTTTTCAATGAGTTAATCTAGATATTTCTAG